GGGTCCAGGGAACTTGGGCATGCCCCCACGGGAGCAGAAGCGTTTGACCTCAGGGCTCTTCCTGCGCCATGCTCGCAGCACTGGACATCTGCAGAGTGCTGCCTGGGTGCCGAGCATGCGCATCAGCTTGTGTGCACTAACCTCTTCCTCTAAAAACAATCCTGGGAAGGAAGCCCTGTGCAGCTGGGCCAATAGGCCCAGAGCAGTCACAAAACTTGCCCAAGATCACATAGCTAGGAACAGCAGAGTGGCATTAAATCCCTGCCCTCTGGCTGTGAGGTTCAAGCCCCTCAGTGAACGCAGTCCCTCAAGTTCTAGCGGTGGGTATCAGTGGCTGGCCTCTTCTACAGGCAGAGACTGGGCCTCTGTGTACCAGGCCACTTACTTTATGATATGGTGGCTGTCTCTTCTACCATTGTACCCTGCACTGTCCCAATCTGAGGACTGGCCTCCGTGACAGGAGCAGTAAGGGCTACTGACCAAGAGCTTCCTTGGTGCTTGGGGCTGGGTCCTGGGCACATCTCCCTATTAATTACCAGGGGCAGGGCTGGCAAGATGGTTCACCGGGTAAAGGTACCTACTGACAAGCCTGTCAGGGGGTATTTAATCCCCAGGACTCACACTGTAGAAGACTCCCCTGACCTCCACCTCTTACACACAGAAAATATATAAAATAATTATAATCACCACAGGCCCAGGAAACAGAGCCCCCGCCCGCTCCTCGGAGAGCCACACAAGCTTATCTGGACCTAAAGTCCATGCCCTCTGCTACCCGGCTGACAGTGGGTGTCCCATATGGCAAACTTCTGGAGGAAGAGAAAGGCATGAGGTCTGGCCTGAGCGACACGCCAAGAGTGGGCTGTCTTCTCTGGTGGCCTTGGGAGTGTCTTCCGATGGGGCCTGCTGAGCCGGATGTGGAGGAGAACAAGCTACTGAGACAGTGGAATGCCCAGTTCACAAAAACTGGCCTTCAGCAAGAGGATCTGCCCTCAGAGTAAGAATAGCTTTGAGGAAGGATGGGGCAGCGTGGGATGGTTGGCATGGTGAGGGGCCACACAGAGAGACCAGGCTCAGACAGTAACCATTGTCACCACAGCTCCTGTAGATCTTAGCAAAGGGAAGCACTGGTGTGATCTCAGGACCTTCCCCACGTGCAGACACCCGATGCAGTCCCTGGGACTGGGCTGTGGGAACCCATCCCATCTGAGCACTGCCCACAGGGGGTGCTGGGCAGGGTCTCCCTGTGAGTCTCCAGGTCTGCCCATTCCTGCCTACCCCAGGGCATCCTGTGTCTATAGGGCTCAGCCTACTTGAGGTCACTGGTAATGGCAGAGGCCACCCAACAGCCCCTGCTGGGTCCAGGAAAGAAGCAGGAGTGTGGTACAGTGCTGAATTCAGGCCAGAGCAACTGCTCCTACCTCTGGGATCCTCTCCCTGGCTCTGGGAATGGAGCCTTGTCTTCTGGGTGAGCTCTTGTGGACTTTGAATTCTGAGAACTGTCACCATTGACAGGGACACTGAGACAGGCAGGCCAGGCTGTGTTTCAGTACCACCAGTGGCTCCAGCTCCCAGAAACAGCTACAGGGGACAATACTAGCCCAAGATCATGCAACAAGAAAGCAGGGAAGCCTGAGTTTGAACCTAGGTCTGTCGGAATCCAGAATGTCAAGTCGATAAGGACTATTTACAGCATTGTCAAATGGTCACCTCTGCCTGTCCCTTTCTGAAGTCCCTGGACAGGCCCCCGAGAGTGCCAGGAAAGGGGAGCTAGTGTGAGCCTAGGTGGGTTGGTGAAGATTTCACTGCGTCCCACACCCCTTGAATTCCAGGCAGATGACCCCAGGCCCAGCACCCAACAGTGTGGAACTTGAAAGAGTAAATGAATCAAAGCTGCCTTCCTTCCTGTCTGCTGGCCCCACACCTCTCCCTTCCCCAGGCCACCAGGGCACCCTGGGGAGCATACCTGCTGCCAGGAGTGTTCTAGGGACCAGGCAATGGGTTCCTAGGGCCCCCACCTAGGAGTCAGAACATCCAAGGGACCTCAGAACTCATCCCAGGCTTCCTGGGTCAATTGCCGCTCTCATTCCCAACGCATGGTCCTTCGGTTACTCACACACGCTTCCACAGATATCCTCACAGAAGCCCCAGGCCAAAAGCTGTACCATCGGCAGCCCAGAGAAGTTAAGGGACTTGGACACACAGTCACATAGCTAAGGACAGAGGGAGGATTTGCACCCGTGTCTTCTAACCCAAGGGATCTGTTCTTGCCATCCTTCCGGGAGCCCAGTGTTCTCCCTCACTTGATAAAGTTCTGGAGGGCTGTGATTTAAATCCTAGGCTCAGAACCAGGTGGTGGTGGCGGCAGCGCATGCCTTTAATGCCAGCACTCGTGGGTCTCTATGAGTTGGAGGCCAGCCTGGTCTACAGAGTGAGTTCTAGGACAGCCAGGGCTACACAGAGAAACCCTAAAACATAATCAAAAAAACATAAATCAATCAATCAATCCATCCATCCATCCATCCTGAGCCCTGGGAACCACAGCAAGTGGGCAGGACCCAGCCCCGTCCCTCCTAGTACTGCTTCCTGTAAACCTGAGCAATAGCTGCGTCTACACTGCGGCTTCAAACACCAACACCCCACCGCCAACACCGGCTCCTCTTTACGGAGAAGACGGGGACAAATTAAACCACTAAAGTCGTTTCATATAAGCTGGGCAGACTGCCGTCCCAGCCACTCAGGAAGTTGAGGCAGGAGGACTGTTTGAGACCAGGAGTTCAACATCAGACTGGGCAACACAGTGAGAATCATCTCAAACATTTATTATTATCACTACTATTGCTTTGTTTTTTTGAGACAGGGTCTCTCTACATAGCCCTGGCTGTCCTAGAACTCACCATGTAGTCAAGACCGGCCTCAAACTCATAGAGATCTGCCTACCTCTGTCTCCCAAGTGCTAGGGTTAAAAGTAAACACCACTACGCCGGGCTCAAATATTAAAAAAAAAAAATTAATACAAAATTCTGCGACAGTTAATCTTCATTGTCAACTTGACTGGATTTAAAATCACAAAGAGACCCACCTCTGTGTGAGGCTCAGGGACCCACCTCTGTGTGAGGCTCAGGGGCCCACCTCTGTGTGAGGCTCAGGGGCCTACCTCTGGGTGAGGCTCAGGGGCCCACCTCTGGGTGAGGCTCAAGGCACAGATTGAATTGAAAAGCTGAGCACCAAACTGACCCCTCTCTGCTTCCTTACTGTGGAAACAATGACAGCTGCCACCTCACTCCTGCCCGACCCCCATGCCTTCTCCACCACGATGGACTGTGCGCCCTTAAACTGTGAGCCACACAAACTCACTCTTCATTAAGTTGACTTTTGTCAGATGTTTGGCCACAGAAAGGAGAAAAGCAACCAAAGCACACTCTTTATCATTTACAGAAATACTTACACTTTACCCTAAGTCCCTCCCACAGAGTCAAAACTGTACATACAAGGGTAAATGCACAGGAGGGAAAATTGGAAGGACATGAACAAAGATGTCAACAATGGCTACATTTACAAGACAGATCAACTTTAATCTGCTCTTTTATTTTGCCCACTTTGTAATTTTTGGATCCTCTTTCCTCCTCCACTCACAAATGCGTAAGGCCGTTCAAATCCATATCCCTTACTCCTGCTGCAGAGGTGACTCATCTGGATGGGCAGAGAACCTCCAGCACTGACTGTGGGAGGAGGCTGTGGGTCCCAGTCACGTCTCCTAAACACCAACCCTGACACAGGGAGGTCCACACACTCAGGCCCCGGCCTCTGGTATCCAGCTACCCTTCAGATTTCTCTGGGGATTTCCAGCTCAGGCCTGCTTCTCTGGATCCAACTCTAGCAACCTGTATTCCTCGGGAGTGAGGATTAGAAAGTATGGTGCCACCCTTCTCTGGTCCAGCACAGCATCCTTCCCTAAAGGAAGATGGCCAGGCTGTCCAGAGCATCTTCTCTCTAGAGTGACATCTGAACTAGGAGGCTGGGCTTGCAGACGTTAGGAGATGTACAAAGGGGCTCTGGGTCCAGAGGACGCTGCAGCAGGGAGCGGGCACAGCCAGAGGGCTGCAGGAGAAACACAAGGGCATGCGGCCCATCTGCTGTCACCAGGCAATAGGAATGACACCCCAGAATTTTATCTAAAGGCGGCCAAACCTAGTCTCTTCATATACACATGTTTGCTCTCTGTGGGGACAAAGTCATCTCACCACCACCCTCCAGTAAAGTATATTTACCCAGTCTTCCGTGTTCACGTCACCAAACCCTGTCCCTCTCCATCCTCACCTTCCCAAGCTCCACTGCTCGGATGCAGGGTTGTACGAATGGACAGAAGCACCTAAAAGACCCTAACCCTTCAGGCTTACACCCCCAAGTCCCAGGAAATAAGGAACTAAAAAGAAAACTAGTTCCAAGGGCCACCTGACTCAATCATTACTCAATCACCCCTGTAACAATGTAACAATGTAAAAAGATTTCTGTTAAGAGATGTGCTCTACTGTGACTGGGATAGTTGCAAGTGTTCCAGGAAGGACCACTGTGACCTTTGTGTAAACTCCACTCCCGCCCTGATACCCCCCTTGAGGTTTCAGGAAGAATGTACATGCGGACGTGACTGTACCCACTCTGTGGTCAGACCATGATCTTGTGAAACGAAATTGTATGGGAATTGTAATCTTATGGCTTTTGTGGGTTTTTCCTTTAAAAGCCCCCATGGGGCTGCAGTAAGATGCGACTCTTGCTCTTTGGAGCAGAGTTTGCCCAACTGTACAGCCACTAATAAACCTCTTGCTATTGCATCAACTAGACCGGAGTCTGGGTTCTTGGGGCGCCCACTCGAGAAGATAGTACCCTGGGTCTGGGGTCTATCACACGGGAGTCCTCCGAGTCCAGAAAAGCTTGGCGAGCCCAGAAAAGGGCAGACCAAAGCGAAGCTGCACTCAGCGCCCCCGGGGTCTGTGTCGACTCACCAAACATGCTGCCCTCGTAGCCGTCCTTTGTGAGGGGCCGGAGCTCATTCTTGCCCATCGCATACCGGCGGTAATTCTGCCACGAAAACCGCATCATCTGCGGGAAAGAGCAGGGGACCAGACCCCGGTGAGACGATGCTGGTGGCCAATGGTGCCCACCACACCCTCTGCCAAGGTCTCAGCCTGATTTCATTCCCCTCCAGTCTCTCCACATACCAAAGATCACCCAGAGGTTTCCAAGAAAGAACCTAAACCACCTTCTAGGCAGGGAGTGTGGCTCAGTGAGAGGGGCCTGCCCATCTTGTATGAGGTCCTTCTTTGGATCCCCAGTACTGCAAAGGAAAAAAATGAAGGCTACCTCTTCTATGTAGCCTTCCCTGCCCTGCCCTGGTCTAAGGGAAGAGAAAGAACTCATTTACTTACAGGGTGAGCGCCTGTCTCAATTTAACAGAATGATCTCTCCCCTCCCTCCCCCACCCTCCTCCTGACAAAGTTTTGTGAATCACCATCTATATACACATAAGAGCTGGGTCAGAAGTGGGGTGACCTGCCCAAACGGCCCCCAGTGACAATCTGTGCCCACCCTGCTTCCTCATTCCCAGAGTCTCCCTCACTGGCTTTCACACCGTGCCCTTTCACTTCTGCATGGCAGGGTGCAGGAGGAGGGCTGAGGGGGGTGGGGACAGAGCTCCAGGGTGACAGAGGAATGGAGCACAAAGCAGGATTTGCAGGAGGTGCAGGTAGCTGGGGAAGCAATGGGTGCAGTAGACAGACTGGGGGCTTGAGTTCTAACCCCGCCTCTGCCACCACCCCCCTGGCCGGGATGCTACTCTTTGTGCAAAGTCTGCTTTAACAAGACAGGGTGATGCCTGCTCAGCCACAGTCTTAGAAGGGTTCAACAACGGAAGAAGGAAGCGGAAATGCCTGCCTCCAATGGCAGGGGTTGACGAACACCAGCTGTCCTTCCGCCCAGGCCTTCAGAGGCCCTGTATGACTCTCCCAGCCCTTCCTGCTTCCCACTTTATCCCTCAGTCCTCAAAAGCTAGCCAGAAGCAGTGAGCCCAGACCAGCGAGGCTGGTCCCCAAGCTTCTGACTTAGCAGGTCTGGGGCAAGGCATGGACTTGCCTTTAACAGTTCACACATGCTGTGGCTGATCCCCGGGCCACACAGAGGACCACCTGTATCACACACATGAGCTTCCAAATGCTTGGAACCAGAGCATTCTGGATTTCGGATTTTTTTTTCTCAGTATTTCAAATATCTGTATATACATAATGAAATATCTTGGAGAGGGACCCAAGTCTAAACAGGAAATTTGTGCTTCTCCTATATATCTTAGGCACATAGCCTGAACATAATTTTACACAGGTGTGATATTTGGTTGTGTTCTGACACAACAAAATCTGGAGATCAGAGGATGGAGTTAGCCACTAGTTAACCATAGAGGCCAGGTGGTGGTGGCTCACACCTTTAATCCCAGCACTTGGGAGGCTCACGCCTTTGATCCCAGCACCTGGGAGGCTCACGCCTTTGATCCCAGCACAATCAGGACGTGGAGACAGGAACATAAGGTGGGTGGAGACAGGATCTCGGTGCCCATTCAGTCTGAGGATACAGAGAGGTAGGTCACTAGTGGCTGCTGCTCTGCTCTGATCTTTCAGGTTATTTCTCCAATATCTGATTCCTGGTTTTTATTGATAACACTAATTAGGACCACACTTCACAGTACTTTCACTGCACCTGTGGTTTGAAGGTGACCTGTTACATGAAGTTGGGTGTGGAAGTGAAGTCATGCTGTCTCCCCCAAAATTTCAGACTTTGGATCACTTTTGGATTTCTTTAAAAGTCTATTTATTTTTATTTTTTATGGGTGTTTTGCCTGCACCTATGCACATGTATGTACATGTAACAAGTACATGCCTGGTGCCTGCAGAGGCTACAGAGGGTGACAGATCCCCTGGAATGAGCTACAGGTGGTGACTGGAGTTACAGCTGCCATGTAAGTGTTGGGGACTGAACCCAGGTCTTCTGGAAGAGCAGCAAATGCTCTTAACAGCTGACCCACTTCTCCAGCCCCTCCCTTGGTTGGGTTTTTGTCTGTTCGTATTTATTTACTTACATACTTATTTTGAGACAGAGTCTCACTGTTTGGCTCTGTCTGGCCTCAAACCTGCTGTATAGATCAGGCTGGCCTTGAACACACAGAGATTCACCTGCCTTTGCCTCCCAAATGCTGGGACTAAAGGTGTGTGTCACCACATCTGGCTTTCATTTTTTTTTTTAATTAAAGATATTTGATCTATATTATATGTGTATGTTTGCTTGTTTTTTGAGGCAGGGTTTCATGTAGCCCAGGCTGGCCTCTGAGGTACTACACTGCCAAAGATAATCTTAAACTCATGGTCCTCCTGTCCCCACCTCTCACGTAGTTCTGGGGATGGAACCAGGGCCTCCTGCATGTTAGGCGAGCACTCTGCTAACTCAGCCACATCCAAATCCCTCCAACCTGCACGTGTTGGTTTCCATTTCTCAGTGTTGCCTTGGTTTACTCTGCCCCGTTTCCTGCTGCTGCACCTGACTCTGCAGCAGGCCCTGCTACATTCCCCGTGCTCAGCCCTGTTCCTGGCCCCCAGACTTAGAAGCCGTCTCTTCTGGCAATATTGCTGCTGTGACCAAAATCCACAGGGGAGCGACCTCACGGCAGTGTGGCCTGGACTCTGAATGGCAGGACACTCTAGAACCATGTTCCCAGGAGACAAATGGCGAAACTGAGGTTCCTAGATGGAGAGTGACTGGGGATGCACAGCTAGCCAGACTGGAACACGAGTGTCTCTCCAGAGCAGCAGGCCCCATCATACATACCATGTGGGGCTCCCAGCTGCCTCGGCCCATGCCAATGTCATGGTAGTGCATGACAAGAACTCGGCACAGGCCTGGAGGCCTGCCTCCATTCCTCTGTTATTTTCTACTTATCTCGAATTGGCAATAGCAGGGAATAATTGCTGGGTATGCATGCGGAGAGAGAATAGAGTCCTCCCTCCCTCTCTCCTATGAACCCCCCCCCCCGCCCCCGCCATCACAGTTGGCAGGGGGGTAGGCAGTAACAAGATTTCAGAACATAAACCACACAGAAAGGTTGGAGCAGAGGTGTGCAGGCTGCCACACCCCACCCTGAACCTACCCCTACTTAGAAATAAGTGAGTGCTCAGGATGAGTTATTGGGGATCACAGGCGTCTACCCAGAGCTGTCTCCTCTGGGCTGCGGCCTGTCTGTTCTCACAGCCAGCCACATCGGTGGGGGACGACAGAGGTAGCCAAAGGCACAAATGACCCCCGTGCCATCTGGGGCTGGACCTGGAAGGCATTGCAGCTGCCTCTGTGTGCAAACCCTCATGTGCACACGCACTGCCCCTCGGGCCCAGATGCTTGGGTATCAGATGGGCGTGCACACACTTAGCAAGTACCTGCTAGGCCCGGGCGTGGGCTGCAGTTTGAGAGCTGTGCTATGGAGGCGATGTTCTCCCAGCCCCACCCTCTCCCCCTGCCAGCTGCTCATCTTCCTTCAGGGCCCGGCTGAAGGATGCCTGTGCAGAGGGTCTTCAGCGCCAGCCCTGCCTGAGTCAGCCCATGCTCCGGTTTAAGATCATCTCGGTTATGTGGTATGTTAGAGGCCAGCCTGGGCTGCATGAGACCCTGCCTCAAAAACCAACCAACTAAGCCGGGCGGTGGTGGCGCATGCCTTTAATCCCAGCACTCAGGAGGCAGAGCCAGTCGGATCTCTGTGAGTTCAAGGCCAGCCTGGGCTACCGAGTGAGTTCCAGGAAAGGCGCAAAGCTACACAGAGAAACCCTGCCTCGAAAAACCAAAAAAAAAAAAACAACCAACTAAACAGGTACCTGAGTGTCCGGGGTCAGGCATATTTTCCCTGCTGCCTTCAGTTTAGTTCCCACCCCCTATTCGTGCTGCACATCCACCACTGACACATGGGAGAAGCTTGTTAAATCCCTGCTGAAGCAATGAATGAATAGCAAATAGGAAAACGGGCCTTGCAGCTAAGCCGTGGCCAGGAGGCCTTTGTGGACTCCCTGACACAGATGAGACCCAGCCTGCTCAAAGACAGTCTTCAGAGGCACCTACTGGGCCCCAAATGCTTAGACAGACACATAGGGATACAAGGGGCACATGAAGAGACTTGTCCAAAGGCATGAAAGGTAGCAATGTGAACCTAAGGCCCTAAAGACCTTAGAGGTCACTCAAGCTCCCTCCTGTCTCTCCCGAGTTCCTAAGTAGAACATAAGTTATCTCTCCTTGGATATGGATACCCCTAATGATGCGGGGGGGGGGGGGGGGGGGACTCACCTTACTGGGAAGGCCCATTAACTGCAGAATGTCCCAAGTCCTCCTTGAACCCATCAAATCTATTCTCCCCTAGTGTCCAGAGGGAAGAAACATCTTCCACACCACACACATTCACTTTGGGGACCCAACTCTCACGTCACCCTAGCTAAACAGCCCCGCTCTGTCAACAGGTAGCTCATCACTAACCTCTGAATACTGCATGCTCGGCCAAGGCACCCTCTGTGACCACACACCTTCCCACACTACATGTTTCTGGGGTACGTGACTTAATCACCTCATTTGGGCAAAGAGCAGAAACAGTATCAACCTGCCTCGGCCATCCTGCAGCTGTGGGTCTGCCCTTTGTCCCCGGTGACTCCCGTGTCACCAGGCTCTGTCTGCCATCCCACGCTATCCAGAACTTTGTGGACCAGATCTGAATGCCGCTCGATGTCTGCCTGCTTTGAGCAATGGACAGACTTGGACGAGATGGGCTGACATCTGTGTGCAACCCAGATTTGGGGCCTAAGTGGAAATGGCTGGGCTGAGGAGGAGGAATCATCAGAGGCCTTACTCTTGGATCTAGCACCACTCACCAACACTAGCCAAGAGCTCACCAAGCTGTCAGCAAAAACCCATCTCTCCACTTTTGTGTGAGAAGCCTGTGAAAGGCTGAAATACAGACCTTGGCCCTCATACAGCCAGCACAGAGCAAACACTTTTTTTTCAAGGAAAATAAGGGGTTTAGGCTGGCAGGA